ATTAAGTCTTCAAAAGGCCCTTTCGTGTCTCGGGAACAAGGGGTTTGAACCATGACTTCCCCATGTATGTTTGCATGTTAATTTGATGTATTTACAGTTCTTAAATGATTCATGATTGGTTAAATTGAGTATGTTGTATGAATATTGAGCTTGTTCTTTAATCTTTTGGTATGAGCTTTAATGTTATGCATTATTGTTTATGTAAATTGAAAACTCATTGGATTATTATGATCAAGTGTATGATGTGTATGAGATATTGTGATATATGGTGAGGATGAAAAATGAAGATGAAATTATCATATACTTTTGATATAATGAGGAGTGCTAGTCATGTAATATGTTATGGAGATGTAGATTGTGAATATTTGGATAACGTATTTAGTTTAATTGTATGTTTGGGTAAGGGATTTTTAAGGGATCTATTAGGGTTGAATATTTATTATTCAAATATGTATAAACCATATTTGTAGGATGAAATATATGTATTATGATTTTGTATTGAGATATTCATGTATTTAAGCCTTTGAGTTTTAATACAATGGAAATTTTTTAAAAGATTGCATTTCTAGCCAATTGGTCTTATACCACCAACATTAATCTTACCATGAAATTGCTGTATTGCATTCTCAAATTTCCTTGAAAATGTTGTTGAGTTGTAGGATCCTTAAAAACTTGCCTGTTGTCAAAATTGTTTTGAGACACCCTATGATGATATTAGTCTATCTAGGATCAACATTTCAGAGGCCAATCGGAAAGGACCATGAGTATCACAAATGTGAAGTAGAGCAGAGTAAGTAGTCAATGTTTTCCCTATGTGATCCCTTAAAATACTCCCCTGTGCTTGCTGGGCTCAGACTCCCTCATGATCTGCCTTTGAAATTCATCTTGACCACCCCACTGGTGGGGGCATCCAATTTTCACACCTCTCTTTTCTTCTGATTTTTCTTTTAATATACCCTTGCAAATCATCCACCAAAGTTCTTTTACTATGCCTTGCCCCATAGGTCTATTCTCATTATAGCCTATGATAAGTTAATATTGATCAAGATCTAGATCTGAATCCATAAAAATTTTGTACAAAAGAAGAAGGGAAGAGAAGAGAAGAAGAAGAAGAGAGACATGGAAAAAATTGCATAAGCTTGAATCATATATCGTGATACTAACCACAATTATGTATCATTGTTATTTAATGATATGACCATGACCATTAAATAACAATTTCCACCTTTCTTTTATTTTCTCTTCTTTCGTTATGTTTTCTCTCTCTAAAAATGTATGTTATAGACCTCCACAAATGGCCCATTTTCTATGACAAAAATGCCCTTTAACAAAAGAGAAATACCATTGGGGTGATATTTTACATCACATCCCAACAATCTCCACCTTGATGCAAAATCACACCCTTACCTTGCCAAACCATATCCGATAATTCCCTTTTTGAAGAACCTAGAGAACTTAGCCAATTCCGCAAGTTCTCTAGCCCAATAACTGGCATGAACATGCCTTGCTCATCTTCCTTCGTGTTTGCTCTTAGTCAAACTCCACCTTCTTCAATACTCTCATTCTTGAGTTCTTGAGGCCATCTTGCCTTCACACATGCTCTAGGTGAAACACCTACAAGCACAACCGGTGTTTAATCTCATATCACCGAGATCCCTTGCATAAGTCTCTCCCATGAAGCCTTCTTTGTATTCATAGCCTTGGCAATGCTTGCACATACTTCTCAAATTTTGAAGTACCCATTTCACTTCATTCAAACATTTTCTTTCGAGGCTAAACACAAGCCAATCAGGAAAACTAAAAACAAATGAAATAACAAATCTTATACAAACCATGACAATAATCAAAATCAGCATTAGAGTAGCATGCAACACTCCAATCACATCGGCCCTTCCTTCACCAAATTTTGAACATTGGCTCAAAGGAAATTCATGTGGTGTTTCCGGCAACATTCTCTTGTGAAATTCTCATATCTTCAATTTCTCCACCTTGCTGAATAGCTTCATTAAGACCTAGCTTTATTTCACCAAAATCATCAATTGCCAAATCATGTACCTCCTCTTGAGCTTCATCTTTCTTTACAACCAAATTTACCCTTTCACTTACAATTGTGCTCCCTAACAATTTCTACAAGTTTTCTTTCCAAACTCCCTCCATCATAACTAGAGCCCCCTTTGAAACTTTGACACTCCACCTTACCCGGTAAATTTGTAGCCTTCCATATCTAGAGAAGATAGTGAAATCAAGCTCTTCTTCAAATGCGGCACATGCCTCACATTTTCAAAAGTTCGAACCATCCCATCATACATCCTTATGCTAATCGAGTCATACCATTTTTCTTACTCATTGAGTTGTTTTCCATTGATGCCAAACGACCTTCACATGGCTCATATGCATCAAACCACAATCTATGTGAGCACATATGATGTGTGGCTCCATTATCAAGAACCTAACTTTGATAGTACATGAGATTGCTTCCCACCATCAACACGTCATCTTCAATATAATTGGATGTTGATTCTTCAACTTGGTGAACCTCATTCTTGGCCTCACCTTTCCCTTCCATTCCCAAACGGGAACACTTAGAGCAAATTTTCTATTTTTTTGCCAACAATTTTTCTTTATGTGGCTAAACTTGCCACAAAACCAACAACCTTTGTCAGAAGACTACCTCGAATTTGATCTGCTACTTGAGGAATCTCTTGATGAGCCAACTCATTCATCCAACCGGCTTTTTGTCATAAGGACATCCATCCTCGAACCCATCAAATCATCCATCGATGCTTTCTTTTGAATTTTACTGGCAAGAAGTGCACTACAAACCGAACCCAAATCACGAGAATCTTCTTTACTACAAACTCAACGCAGTAACAAGGTTATCATAGGATTCCGGCAATATACAACGTAAGGTGGCCGCCTTATCTTCATCCGCCATTCTCACACCAATACTTTCAAGTTGACAAATGATAGTATTGAATTCATTCAAGTGTTCCGACACCTTTGCACCTTCTTTCATTATCAAGTAATACAATTTTCTTTTTAAGAAAATTTGGTTTGTGAGGATTGTGTTTGATACAAACTCTCCAATTTCTTCCACAAATCTTTTACTGTATTTTCCCCAACAATATTAAACAACACTTCATTTGCTAAACGCGAGCGAATAGTGGCTCGTTCCTTCATATCAAGTTCTTCCCAATTATCATCGGTCATATTTATCGATTTCGTATCTTTTCCAAGTAATGCCTTGTGTTGCCCTTGATGTACCAATACATCTTGCATTTTTAATTTCCAAATTTCATGATTATCTGTCCCATTAAATTTCTCAACCTCAAACTTGTGAGATGCCATTTTCCCAAAAATACTACACTACTTTGAGCTTTGATACCACTTGTTGGCAACCGAGGCTTTGTTGAAAAATATGGATAACACAAATCCCTACTTGATGTGGTGGGCACCCCAAAACAATGAATTCAACAACCCAAATAAAATACCCCAAGAACAATATTGTGTGTGCAATATATTTGGGAAAATTATAGAATCAAGAAACAAGTAATATGGGAAATTACTATAACCACAACACAAGCAAAAAGTTGAAGGCATACCGATTAACATGGTTCACCCAAAATGGGTTATGTCCACAAGCAAGAGGGCAAAGATGCATTTACTATCTCAAGGAAGAAATTATAAGCTTAGGGTTTTGTAGATATTACCTCATACATGGAAAGAATGCTCAATAGAAATTTTTTACCATAATCCCACCGTCAATCGAATCCTTGCTTTGTCTCCATCGACTAACACCATTGCCGCAAGGAAACCCCAATCAAATCCGGCCCAATACAAGAGCCACAATGGTGCTAGGGTTTATACAAGAAACCCGCAATCTCTACCTCGCAAAGCTTCTCTACACCTTTTCTTTTCTTTTCTCTTCTTTCCTTATATTTTCTTTTCCTAAAAATGTTTTTTATAGACCTCTACAAAGAGCCCAATTTCTATGACAAAATTGCCCTTTAACAAAAGAGAATACCATTGGGATGATATTTGGATCAAGTCCCAACAACCCTAAAAGTCATCCTTTGTTCTGATGACTTCCATGAGGGGCTCACCATCCTTCTTAAATCATCATGGCATACTTACTGGCAACATCTTGCCTCTATAATGTTCATTTTGATTTCAAAATCTTCAATGCCATTTATTCTGTAGGGCCTTTTGTTTATTTGATTTAGGCGTCCTTTACATTTTGGTGTACTGATTCATCCCAAAGGAAATTTCTCATAAAGTCTTTGTTTTCTTTCGCAACGAGGATGGGGTCGAAAACGATGACATGAAGTATATCGGTAATTTGGAAATGGTTGATTTGATTAGGGCGATTCTTCCCCATTAATAGGATGTTCTTTTCGAAGATGCTGATTTCTTCCTCAAAGTCCCTAACTTGTTTTAGTTTGTTTTCAATGCTTGGCAGTCCAAGATAGTTTGGCATCTTGTCTAGGCGACAACCATGCATTTAGCAAGAACAGCCAGCTCTTCTTTTAAAACATTTACTGACATCTCAGAAACAGGTATAAATTGTTAATTTGTGTCACATTCACATCCTAGAAAATAAGGGTAGCATCTATGTATTTGCAAATGTGGTAATTGACTATGATATATTATTCATAGGCATATTTTAAGTCTACTAATAAATGTCCTTTTTTTTTTCTTTTCTTGTGGGGTATATGTTGTATAGTGATCATTGAATGTGATGATTGACGGTGTTGTAAATTTGGACTCACTAGAGTTTATGCCTTTATTTTCATATTGTCAAATGATCATGGCCCAGGTGACCATGGTTGTGTATGGTCCATTCTTTGTAATATGATTTTCCATTTGGTGTTTTTATGTGCAAATGATGATCGCATTGCGATCTTATGTTATGTGGATTACATGATATAAGAGATTGACTAATAAGATCATGAGGCACATATTGAGTCTGTTTATGACTCTTTTGTTTTCTTGTGTTGTAGATGTTGGATAGATATGAACAGCATACGCTGAAGTGCTCTTCATGCAAGGGAGCCTACAATGCCTTCCAAACCCTGCAGAAAGTGTTGTTGGGTGCAACTGTGATACTAGGTGCAACTGCTGGTGTCCCATCTGAAATGGGCTTGAGGATCGTCCTCGCCACGCTTTCTATCTTGAGCGCTGCTGCTACATACCTCTTAAACCAGCTCGAGAAGAATTTTGTATTCGTTGATTATGTGCATTCTGAAATAGATTAATGTTTTCAGTAAAGAAATTGCCTCAGTGATTGAGATGGCAGTTGATTTATTCTACCGAGTAGTTGGAATTTTTGGACGGAAATTGTGTAAAGTCCAACATGTAATTAAGAAATAGGAACTCGAACTATGTACAGGTTTCTTTTGTATGCTGTGAAGTCTCATAGTCATAAGAACGAACTGTCTTGGCTCAAGTCAAAAGATAAATTTGGGTTCACGTGAAACATATTTTTGTTATGGTTTTGGTTTCAAACATAATTGGCCCTTGAAGAACTGGATGGTTTTATAATGGTTTCAGTTTCAATCTAGTTCAAGTGAAACAGATTTTTCGTAATGATTTCAATTTGTAACATAAATGACCAGGATGGTTTCTCAGTACCCTGACGGAACTGAATTATTCGGAATGGCGCAGTTTCGACACCATGGTTTTTTGAATTTTTCTTTCGTATCTGTGGAGTTTTTGTGATAAAAGGACAAGTATCCTGTCGACGTCATGTGGACGGGTGAAAGGGTGCACAAGCACACCCTTCTAATGGTCGAGGTTTCGCAAGGCCATATCCAATGGCTAAAAATTAGTCTCATTTTTTATTTTTTATTTAATTAGATATTTATCTGAATTTTGGGGTGTATGTATATTTTTTATAAACAGAACTAAATAAAAATGATTAAAAAATGTTTTAAATAGAAAAATAATCAAAATATCCCTAAAGGCCCGTTTGGATAGGAGGAAATTAGGAATTTGAGATTTTTGAAATCCATAGAAATCTATAGATTTTTAATATCAAGGATTTTTATCATAAATTTTCAACTCTCTTGTTTGGATAAACTATAGAAAATTCATGGATTCCTTGTAATCACTTCTATGTTCATTGTTTCTAAACAAAACTTGATACAATTTCTCTCTCTAAAAGTTTTGTATACTTTCTCTCTAAAACTCAAATTTTGGGATAGTGTATTTATAAAATTTTTGAGATAGTTTCTCTCTAAAATTTGATATGGTTCGTCTTTCTAAAATTTAATATACTTTCTATCCAAAATTTTAAATTTGAAATTGTTTATTTAAAAATTTTGAGATAATTTCTCTCTTTAAAATTTTTAGGTGCCCTCTCTAAAATTTAATATAGTTTCTCTTTCTAAAATTTTAAGATACTCTCTTTCTAAAATTTAAAACTTGAGATAGTTCTCCTTTTCAATAATTTTGAGATAGTTTCTTTTTCTAAACATTTTTAAGCCGTTTCTCTCTCTAAAATATGATGTATTTTTTCTCTCAAGTTTTAAGATACTTTCTTTCACTAAAAGCTAAAATTTGAGATAATTTCTCTTAAAAAATTTTGCGAAAGTTTTTTTAAATTTCTTTATATATTTTCTCTCTCTAAAATTTGGTATGGTTACTCTCTTAATTTTTAAGATACTTTCTCTGTCCAAAACTTCAAGTTTGAAATAATTTCTTTCTCTAAAATTTTGAAATAGTTTCTCTCTTAAAATTTGATATAGTGTCTCTCTAAACTTTGATATACTTTATCTTTCTAAAGTTTAAATTTTGAGATAGTCTCTCTCTATAATTTTTTTTGAGATAGTTTCTCTTAAAAAATTTCATGTACTTTTTCTATTTAAACTTTGATATAGTTTACCTCTTGAAAATTTGAATATACTTTTTCTTTATAAAATATGATTTTTGCGATAGTTTCTCGCCAAAATTTTTGAGGTAGTTTATCTCTCTAAAAAATTTTAGTTAGTTTCTCTCTCTAAAATTTGATATAATTTTTATTTTTAAAATTTTAATATATTTTCTCTTTCTAAAATTCAAAATTTGAGATGGTTTCTATTTGAAGCTCAAAATTCAACACAGTTTATCTATTTAGAAAATGAGATATTTCTATCTCCAAATTTTTTTTGGACATTTTTCTTTTTAAAATTTATAATAGTTTCTCTCTAAACGTTTAAGAATACTTTTTCTCTCTACAATTTTAAGAATACTTTCTCTCTAAAACTTAATATTTGATATTGTTTCTCTCTAAAAAATTTTGAGATAGTTTCTACTTCTAAATTTTTTAGGTACTCTCTCTAAAATTTGATATAGTTTCACTCTCTAAAAATTAAAATCTAAAATTGTTTCTTTCTAAAAATTTTGAAATAGTTTTTCTCTAAAAAATTGAGATAGTTCCTCTCTCTAAGAATTTACATGTACTTTTTCTTTCTAAAATATGACAATTTCTCTCTAAAACTTTTTCTTTCTAAAATATGACAGTTTCTCACTAAAACTTCAAATTTGAGATAGCTTCTCTCTAAAATTTTAAAATGGTTTCTCTCTAAAAAAATTTGAAACTTTCTCTATCTAAAATTAACGTACTTTTTTTCTCTAAAATTTTAACATACTTTTTCTCTTTAAAGAAATTAAATACTTTATCTCTCTAAAATTTTCATTCACACCAAATGCTCCCTATGTTTCGGGTTGAGGGAGCCAATGAGTGAAATTCATGGATCTTGTCAGGTTTTGGTATGGAAATGCAATCATGAAACAATAATTCTTATTTCTGTAATTTTAAGTATCACGGTCATTAAACACTCCAAACGGCGGAATTTGAAAATATCTAAAATATTAAGAATCCATGCTTTAAAATCCATGTACCAAACAGGCCTTAAGGATATGCATAATCCCGTGAAATGTCCTATGCCTCGGCCGTATTAGAACCTCCAATCCGTGCAGACATGCATGTGCAGCCACAATCTCTCCAATGCGGTCTCTAATTGCCTCCCCTTACAACCGATGGGTCTGGGTTTCCCGATGAACTCCAGTCGAAATTAAGCTTTAAAACCTTAATTGGAGGCTTGATCCATTACACATGAATATATGTTCCGGCACCCACAATTCACCACTGCTATCCATCCTCTTACCGAATCCGAAACCCAGAGACTTTGGAATTCCTTTCGAATTCAAATCCCAAGGACAATCACACTTTTAACTTGATCCTCTACAGTAGTGGCTCCTGAGTGTGCGCCCTCAAAAATCCTCATATTCCTCTCTCACCATATACCCCAAGGATGGAAGCAAAGCTCAGCTTCTGCAAAGTACCCTCCTTTCATAAGCAATGACCAAACCTCTAGGTGGATAGCGCCTTGGTGAATGCCAATATAAGACCATATAGTCTTACAGAAGGAGCAATGAATAAATAAGTGATCCATTATCTCTTGAACTACTCAGCACATGAGACAAACACAAGGGAGTTGTATACCTCTATGCTTCCCATCATCAGCAGTGAGAACTTTGTCAAAGACTACCAATCATATGAAGCATAACATCCGAGGAATGGGAACGTACCATAGGAACCTTGCCCCTCATCCCTCCCTTCAAGCCTTCCTCTCTCCACTCCAGGTAAATTTCACAGTTTTTCGATTCATCTTTTCATCTGGTTTCTTCTACTAGACAACCGTGTGACCTTTTTCTTTTTTGTGAATAAAATGCTACAGGAGTTTCTCAATGCATCAAGTTTTTTTACTTGAGTACATAACTATTGGGTTTTTATGTTTTTTGGGCTTGTTTAGTTTTACTTAGCTAGAATGTTGTAGCTATCGTGCTCTTTTTGCTACCTTTTCTTTTTTTTAATAAATAATGCTTCTGGGTTCATGAAATGAGATATATTTTTTTAATGATATACAACTATGATGTGGGTTTGTTTATATCTTTTTATGCAAACAAGAAATGCATTAATTACCAACATTTTCATTTTCTTATTAATTTTAGTTATTTTGTATTTGGGTTTTTGAGTATTTTCTCTGTGATATAGTGCTAATCTCGCTTCCATTTTTTTGAGCCTTTTGGAAATAAACATCTTCTCCTAACATAATTAAAAGATTGAATAGCACGAATACTTGGGTTTCTCCTTTTATGTGGATATCTTCTTCCTTTACATAATTGGTTATGTATAAATCAATGTTGCTGCATTTCTTTGAAGAATGTAGATTAATGGGCGCCTTTCTTTCTTAGTTTTCTGAAAACCTGTGAAGTTTAGTTGCTATCGCTTACTAGCTTGCTTGTTTTCATTCCTGAATTTGTTATTCACTCAATGGTTCATTTGTTCCCATTATTTATTGAAATTGCTTTGCTTTTTTTTTTTTTGAAATTGCTTTACATTTGGTATCTCCTTTTTCTTTTTTGTGAATAAAATGCTACAAGAGTTTCTCACTGCATCTAGGGTAGGAGTTTTTTTACCTGAGTAGATAACTATGGGAATATTATTAATTTTTTTTTTTTGGGTCTTTTTAGTTTTACATAGCTCCAATTATGAATATTGTAGCTACCATGCTTTTTTTGCTACCTTTCTTTTTTTAATAATGCTTATGGGTTCGTGAAATCTGATATATTTTTTCTATGATATACAACTATGATGTGGGTTTGTTTATAATTTTATATCTTTTTATGCAAACAAGAAATGCATGAATTAACAACATTTTCTTTTTTTTTTCTTATTTGTTTTGGTTATTTTGTATTTGGGTTTTTTGAGTATTTTCTCTGTGATATAGTACTAATCTTACTTCCTTTTTTTCAAGCCTTTTGGAAATATACATCTTCACCTAACACAATTAAAAGATTGGACGGCTCTAATACTTGGGTGTCTTCTTTTAGGTGGATATCTACTTCCTTTACATAATGGGTCATGTATAAATCACGGTTGCTGCATTTCTTTGAAGAACGTAGTTTACTGGGCTCCTTTCTTTCTTAGTTTTCTGAAAACCTGTGAAGTTTAGTTGCTATTGCTTACTAGCTTGCTTGTTTTCATTCCTGCATTTGTTCTTCACTCAATGGTTTCATTTGTTCCCATTATTTATTGAAATTGCTCCTCTTGTCTTTTTTTTTTTTTTGAAATTCCTTTACATTTGGTATCCCCTTTTTCTTTGTTGCGAATAAAATGCTACAGTAGTTTCTCAATTTGAATCTGGTGTGGGAGTGTTTTTCCCCTAGTAGATAACTATGGGAATATTGGGTATTTACTATTATTTTTTTTTGGATTTGTTTGGTTTTACTTAGCTCCAATTATGAATGCTACCATGCTCTTTTTGCTACCTTCCTTTTTTTAATAAATAATGCTTATGGGTTCTTGAAATTTGATATATTTTTTCTTTGATATACAACTATGATGTGGTTTTGTTTATAACCTTTTATGCAAACAAGAAATGCATGAATTACCAACATTTTCATTTTCTTATTAGTTTTAGTTATTTTGAATT